AAAAGAGATCATATTTCTCCTGTCTTGGCTTCTCTGCATTGGCTTCCTGTAAAATCCAGAAAAGAATTTAAAATCCTTCTCACATACAAAGCTCTTTATGGTCAGGCACCATCTTATCTTAAAGTACCTTACTGCCCCACCAGAGTACAGCACTCCCAGAATGCAGGGTTACTTGTGGTTCCTAGAGTCTTCAAAAGTAGAATAGGGGCCAGAGCGTTCAGCTATCAGAGTCCTCTCCTGTGGAACCTGGTTCCCGTTTGGGTTCGGGAGGCAGACACTGTCTCTACATTTAAGAGTAGGCTTAAGACTTTCCTTTTTGATAAAGCTTATAGTTAGGGCTGGCTTAGGTGAGTCAACCCTTTATTATGCTGCTATAGGCCTAGAGTGCCGGCGGATTTCCCATGGTGCATCGAGCCCGCCTTTCCTCTTCTGTCTCTCCCTCTCAGTGTAACCTCATGCATGTTACTAACTGACTTTTTCCCTTTCCCGTAGTCGTATGCTTTATCGTCCCTCTCCTCTCTCCTCCCATCACTTCCTGCAGGTGTTCCTAGCTCTGGAGCTGTGGAGTCTGGATCTGTGGTTGGGAGTCTCCTCCTATCAATTCCTGCAGGTGTTCCTGGCTCTGGAGCTGTGGAGTCTGGATCTGTGGTTGGGAGCCTGCTCCTATAACTTCCTGCAGGTGTTCCCTGCTCTGGAGCTTTGGAGTCTGGATCTGTGGTTGGGAGTGTCCTGCTGCCCCTGTGTTCCTACTCCACTCAACACCCTCTGCAACAATTACAACTACTGTTCATAGTCCAATTGCTATTATTACTGTTATCGTTATCATTAACATTACTATCAATATCTGTACCATTTTTTATTCAGCCTATAGCAACACTACCTTTACCTGGCTGTACCTCTATGTGTTACTGTGTAGGCTTCCTCAACCTGCTCCCTTTGCTCTCTCTGTCCTTCTCTCAATTGAATGACGAGGACTAAAGATCAGTCAATATAGGCCGCAGCTGTAGCCTAATGGGTACAGCGGGCGGACCATGTGCAGAGCCTCTGCTCGCAAGCGGGCGGCCTGGGTTCGAATCCAGCCCATGGCCCTTTCCCGCAGGTCTCCCCTTCTCTATCTCTGCCCCCTTTCCTGTCAAGCTACTGTCATTAAAAAGGCCACTAGAGCCAAAAAAATCTTTAAAAAAAAAAATATCTGACAACCTCAGTTGTATTTTCTTTCCCACCATACAGGAATATAAATGTAGCAGGTAACCTGCTACTCTCTATTGCAGCCAATGAAGTCTAGAGGGATCCCTTTCCAACTGATTAAGCCAAGTGTTCAGCTAAGAGTCCAATGAATAAATATTAGCTTCAGTGGGACACAGCTGAGCATGGTCTTCTGTAAGTATATTGGATTGACTGTCCTCCCCACAGCTGCCATTTTGTCTCAGTGTTAATATGACATTATACGTTTCCTAAAAAACATTGGGTCATTCAACGTAAACACTTAAGGAAACATGAAAAAAAATTAAGGAAAAGACTCCATGAAAAGTCAGGATGAAAACCAAAGATGTGAGTTGTTGTTTTTGGCTGACATAATTCATTCCAATGTCTTTAACCTTCAGCTCCAGGGACATGATCACATAATCACTGACGTTAATTTCCCTCTACTTACTGATATGCTTCTAGAGACCAGACTGACTAGGTTGGATTTTCATACCAGCCTATTTAAGATTTTTTTAAGTCTCTATTGTCTATTGAAAAATGTTCAGTTTTGACAAACACAAAACATTTTTTGAAAGCTTACAAAACTGAAGTAAGTGAAAGTGCTAAAGGCAATTATTTGGCATATCAAGCCCAAACACACAAAACAGCAACAATGTTTTTTACTATAGAGCTGGTTAAAATCAGTGTTTACCTGTGTGCTCAGCTTGAATCTGTTCCTGTGACTCAAACTCTGCTGCTGCAGCTGAACAAGCACATGAAAAATAAGACCAAATTGTCAAATGAAAAGAGAGAATATTAACAAGTTGCAGTTACTTTAACCTCAAATCCAGACATCTTTAAAAAATTGTGTGTCTATACACACCTTCCACTGCTGCATCCCCTGCCGCTTGTGCTGCTTCCTCTTCAGTGTCTGCAATTTTAGGGGTAAAAAAAAGAAAGCCATCACATTTAAAACTATGAGCAATTCCTGCACTAATATGCTTTTGTCCTTTAATCTTACTTATAACTTTTTGCTCACCCAAATCTTCTTGTAACACTTCATCCTTGTCTTGTTCTTCTGCAATATATTCAACATCTTGGAATTCCTCTTCTGTAGATGCCGCCTCATCTTCAGCTAGCTCGTCAATGGGTTCTTCTAAAGCAGTTGAGATGTCTGGAGCAGGTTCCTGTGTAGGTTCGTCTGTCAGTCCTGCTTCCTCAACAGCCTTTTCTATAGATGCTGCCCTTTGTTCTAATTCCATATCTTCAATAACATCCTCTGTGGCTTCCTCCACTTCCTCTGAATAAGTTTCCTCCTGTTTTGCTACATATTTGACAGCAGGATCATCTGAGGAAGCAGGTTCCTCCCCTTCCATTATTTCTTCATCCACGATAACTTCTTCAAAAGGTGTTGCTTCCTCTTCAGAAGCTTTCTCGGTAGATTCATCTGAGGAAACTTCTTCCGCCTCTTCTGTTTCTGCTACATCTGCAACAGTTTCTTCCAAAAGTGCAGCATCCTCTACAGCAGCCTCCTCTGAGGGAGCAGCCTCCTCTTTTGTTATAGCTGCATCCACAACATTTTTTTCCAAAGGTTCTGCCTCCTCTACAGCAGCCTTTGCGGGAGCAGCCTCCTCCTCTTCTGTGACAGCTGCATTTTCAACAATTTCCTCCAATGGTGTTGCCTCCTCATCAGCAGCCTCCTGAGTTGGCTCATTTGACGGATCAAGCTCTTCCTCTGCTATTACTTCCAGATTTTCAACTTCCTCTGAACGTGGGGCCTCCTCTTCAGAGGTAAACTCTTCTTCGGTTGGCTCTTCAACAACTTCTTCTGAAACAGCCCCTTCCTTGTCTGCAGTCTCCGGTACATCATCAGAAGTTGCTCTCTCTTCCTGGGCCTCCTCCTCAACTTCATAGAGAGCTTCCACCATTACAGCCTCAACCTCTGTTAATGGCTCTACAGCTTCTGGCTCCTCTTCAATAACTGCAACCTAAATCATTATCAAAAATAGTTTCAAAAAGTATTTCTTACATAAAATTTGAGAAAACACAAAAAGGCCGCCATTCAAAAGGCTACAACTATTGACCAAAATATGATAAGTGATTTGAAGCTGGTCAGAATGATTGTAGCCCTGATCAGCATAATTTTTATCACGCCCTCATCCAGGATCCTGTTTGCTACACATCCCTGTAAAATAGTTAATTCAATTGTTTTATAATTATATGGAACAAAAGTAAAAGCCTCAGGATTGTACTGACAAAAATCTCTACAGTGTTTCTAAAATACAAACTAGCAAATGTTTTTAATAAACTTTAAATTAATGTGATAGTGTAACTAATGAAAATAAGTAAAGTAGCTCATTTTCATTGTTGCTTTTAATTAAAAAAAAGAAAGCTTAAAGTTCTGCTTTTTCAAGAAAGACCGGAGGCACATTTGTGAAAAAAGAAATAATCTTTGTGTCAAACAAAATTATTAACAAAATACAGAGCTATCACTTCCTATATGGGATAGAAAGGAAACCCGGGGGATAGAGTGCTCCAGCTCAGGCATAGCATAGAAGTAGAAGCATGGCCCCTCCATTACATTCTTACATCAAAATCAGCTGTGAGCGTGTGTAAGGAGTCTGTAACATTCTAAATCCCAACTGATATTCTGAGCCCAATGTCATTTTTCACAAAAAACTTGACCCTGAATTAATGGCCACTGCTGAAAATCTGTAACTCCAATCTAAAATGTTCTAAGGTTAAAACTGGGTCGACAGAGCTGGGGCCTAAACTGTGGAATAGTGTAGTGCTCTTTTTTGAGGATATATTTAGTACTGATTGAAAATTCAATGGAAGGCCTGTGTAAGTCAAATAAATGTAAATGTAAGTTGTTTCTATTAGTTTGGTTAGACGTGTGAAAAAAAGTCACAGACTACTGAAGTTCACAAGTTGAGGAGGGATTTTACACGTCAGAAAAACTCAAGGCCGCATGGTTCCCTGGCGGAGTAGGTGCTAAAATTCTGTTGGCTGATGCCAGCTCATAATAGAAATGCAAAAAAAAAATTGTGGGAAAGTTGCATAATTTCACCTGAGCTGGCAGAACATGTGTTTAATAATAACCTTAACAAGTAAATTATAAATTAATAATTGCAATTGTTGTGCCACAAACCATTTAAAAACTTAAAACTTAAATTGAAAAACTCTTATACGGTGTATAGTTTTGTAAAAACAATTAAATACAAAGTGTCCAAGGTTAATGCTGAAGGAACCAATTGAAGTCTCCCAGGCTAAGGACTCTCAGTGTTTGTTTTCAGCCCAAATTCATGCCACCAAAAAAAAAAGAAAAAAATACAATGATGACAAAAAATTGAGAGAGACTATCACAGCTCGGAATATATAAGCCCTTAGGTCAAAGCATGCAGGGTAACACTGATCAATCAAGATTGTAGACACAGCTTTAATGTCTACACAACACAAGTCAGTGCTGTGGCACTGGTAAGAAAAAGTTGGAAGCCCAAGGCCTCAGGGCTAGGCGGAATATTAATTAATGAATTAATATAAATAGATAAATAAATAAAACATTTGTGGGCTATTTCTATCGAGGCGATATACAGAACTCTGATTTCACACTGCTGGTGCCACTTGAAGTGTTCACAATTTAAATGGAGCAGATGCGGCGCTGCTGAGCTTTCAATGGAGTGACACGTGCGTTTGCGAGCTCCTGCCAATTTCGATTAATATTGTTATTCATCTGCGCTTTTTAGTCACATTTTTGTGTTATTCTTACTTCTCAACACTTTTTGTTAAGAATTGTAACTTTGTATCACGTCAGGATGTCAGGAAAGAATACAAAATCGCGTAATACGATCCAGACGCAGCTGAGGCCTGGTTTACACACCGCAGCCCCGCCTTCAGGTGAGCCGCCAGGTTCCACCGAAGCGGAGGCTAGCCCTGACGCCGCTGCCCTTAAAGTGGAGCTAATGACATCGCTGAAAGAAGACATCGCCGAGATAATAAAAAAGCAGTTGCAGGAGACGCTCGGGGATTCTTTGTCGACTATCCAGCTTGATCTACAAACCGTGAAAACACAGCTCGCGAATAATAAAGCAGCTACTGATGCTACATTAGCCGAGCTCAAGTGCACCGTGGGAGAAGTGGAAAACGCTGAATGTTCCGATGACATTGCTGTGATGAAAGCAACAATCAGTAGCCTGACTGCTAACGTTGCCAAGCTCGAAAATAAATGCGAGGATTTAGAATCCAGATCCCGGCGTAACAACATTAGGATAGTGGGGGTTCCCGAGGGCCCCGGTACGTGTGACACCGCTGCTGTATCTGCCTTGCTGAAGGAAGCGTTCGCTTTGGAAAAGGAGCCGCTTCTGGATCGGTCACATCGGACCCTTCAACCAAAGCCTCAGCCAAATGAATGACCACGAGCCATTGTGTGTAAGCTTCATTACTACAGCGACTGTGTTGACATTTTACGCCGTGCAAGAGAGCTCCGTCAGATTCCACTCAGAGGTATGACGCTCTCCGTGTTCCCGGATTACACTGCCAAGGTGGCCCGGGCCCGGGCTGCCTTCAATGAGGTCAGGAAATTACTCCGCGGCATAGATGGTGCTCGTTACGGACTAATCCATCCAGCACGTCTCCGCATTACTTTCAAGGGTGTTGAGAAGGACTTCATCTCAGCGGATGAAGCCAAAGAATACGTCCAAACCTTAATTTCTGGGTGAACATTATTACTTTTACATTGCTTTTGTATGCAATATTCAATTACTGGACTATTGATAATGTTACTGTGGATTAATATTTGTTGGGCCACTGTTACTCTTTGATGTTCAAATGCTTATGACCCTTTGTAATTATTTTGATACAAGGCAGAAATATATTTATATTTTTGTCACCCTGGATTATACTTTCGTATTTTTTTTATTTTTTTATTTTTTCCATAGCGCATGTTCTTGACTAGATGTTAAATTGGCAGGTAGTTGGCAGGGTTTTTAAAAAAATAACTTTTTTGTTTTTGCTCTGCACCGTCTCTGTGTTGTCTTCACTCTAGCGTGGGCAACCTTTTTTGCTGTGTGAACACTGCTGTCTCCATTGTTCTGTTCTGTGTTTATATGGGGACTTTGGGTGTTTTTATGTTGGGGATGTTTTGGGGGAGGGAGTCCTGTCTCAGCTTAGTAATATCTTTCATGACTTTCTTTTATTCAAATGGTTAACAACAGTTTAGATCCCAGCACAGCTGGATCAGGCACACCTCTAAGATTTATTAGTTGGAATATTAGAGGTATGGGCAATCCTGTCAAGAGGTCTAAAGTTTTTACACACTTGAAACGTCTGAAATGTTCTGTAGTGTTCTTACAGGAGACCCATCTTAGAATTAAAGATCAACACAGACTACGCTGCCCTTGGGTGGGGCAAATCTTTCATTCAGATTTTAATTCTAAGGCAAGGGGAGTGGCGATTTTAATTAGTAACAGAGTTCAATTTTCCCCCAGTAATGTTATAGCTGATAAGGATGGTAGATACTTGATAGTTGCTGGTACTCTAATGCAGAGAAAGGTTGTGTTGGTGAATGTATATGCTCCAAACTTTGATGACGCTGAATTTGCCAATAGATTATTAAGAAATCTGCCCTTTCTGAATACCCACCTGTTGATTTTTGGAGGGGATCTAAATTGTGTTTTTGATCCAACCTTAGATCGCTCTAGTCCCCGGAATTTAACTCAATCGGCCATGTCGCTAACATTCTCAGATTTTATGATTCAAAATGGTTTTATTGATCCGTGGAGATTTCGTAATCCATCTAAAAAAATGTTTTCTTTTTTTTCCCCTGTGCATAAATCTTATTCCAGGATTGACTATTTTTTTATTGATAGGGCTCTTGATTCTTGTGTAGTTTCTTCTGATTACTTGGCTATAACTATATCAGATCATGCGCCATTGTTACTGGAGATTCAGTTTTCTACTTACAAACGTAGCCCGCCTCTTTGGAGGTTTAATTCTCTTTTATTGGCAGATAAAGAGTTTTGCGATTTTATTTCAAATGCGATTGACGAGTTCCTTTTCTTTAATCAGAATGATACTACATCATATTCATTGTTATGGGAGACAATTAAGGCTTATCTTAGAGGACAAATTATTTATTATTCTTCACTTTCTAATAAAAGACTTAATTCTAGACTTAACGAATTAACATCTGCAATTAGGGAATTTGATCAAAGACATGCAGGAAATCCCACTCCAGAACTGCTTAAGCAGCGAGCAAATTTGCAAGCAGAATTTGAGCTAATTTCGACTAAAGAAGCAGAACGCTTGTTATTACATAGTCGGGGTTTATATTATGAACATGGCGACAAAGCAGGTCGTTTACTGGCACACCAGCCTGATACCTAGCATTAAAAACACTAGTCACACAACTACCACAGACCCTTCTGAAATGAATGCTATTTTCAAAATATTTTATTCTACGTTATATAAATCAGACTTTCCTGTAGACAGAGCTAATATGGACACATTTCTTCAAAACCTTGATAATCCTGTTATTGATGCAGACACTGCCAGGACCATGGACTCTCCACTATCCCTGGTTGAAGTATTTAATTCAGTCAAAGCTATGCAGTCTAATAAAGCCCCCGGCCCTGATGGGTTTCCTATTGAATTTTATAAGAAGTTTATTGGAAAATTGGCACCATTACTTTTGGCTGTATTTAATGAATCCTTTAAACAAGGTTCTTTACCACCAACACTGACACAAGCTACTATAGCTCTCCTTCATAAAAAAGACAAAGACCCAACTTTGTGTGGGTCCTACAGACCTTTATCATTGCTTAATGTTGACGTTAAAGTCTTGGCAAAAATAATTGCTTCTCGTTTGGAGAATGTAATTCCCCTGATTATTTCTGAGGAGCAAAATGGCTTCATAAAGGGGCGTCAGTTGTTTGTTAACACTCGCACACTTTTTAATATCTATTCTAAACATTCGGCTGAACTTCCAGAGATAGTTGTATCTCTTGATGCTGAAAAAGCATTCGACAGGGTGGAATGGGAGTACTTGTTTGCTGTTTTGAAGAGATTTGGATTTGGTGATGCATTTATTTCATGGATTCGTCTTCTTTACTCTTCCCCTAAAGCTTCTGTTCACACTAATGACACTTTTTCTGATTATTTTGCTCTTGGACGCGGGACTCGTCAAGGGTGTCCACTATCGCCTTTACTCTTTGCTATTGCCATTGAGCCTCTGTCTATAACTTTACGATCCTCTCCCTTATTCAGAGGGATAACTCGAAATGCGATCGAACACAAACTGTCATTATATGCAGATGATTTGTTATTATATGTAACTGACCCTGCTTCTTCCCTCGCCATCATTTTGAGTATTCTGGAAAACTATAGCTCTTTTTCAGGTTATAAATTAAATATGGAGAAGAGTGAGTGTTTTCCCGTAAATAGTGCTGCTTGTGATCTCCAACAATCCGACTTACCCTTTAAGCTTACTTTCCCTGGGTTCAAATATCTGGGTATTAATGTGACACGATCTATATCTGGCCTACTAACAGCTAATTTCACCCCCCTTATTTCGAAGATAAACTCAGATATTCAAAGATGGCGTAGTCTCCCACTTTCATTGATTGGCAAAGTCAATGTTGTCAAGATGAATATTTTACCAAAATTTCTGTTTTTGTTTCAATCAATACCTCTTTTTCTGCCCAAAACTTTTTTTGATTCTTTAGATAAAACAATTGCCACTTTTTTATGGGGTGGAAAGCCACCTAGGATCCATAAAACATTTTTGCAAAGGTGTAAACTTAGTGGTGGACTTGCATTACCTAATTTTCAGATGTATTACTGGGCTGCTCACATCCAAAAACTCTGTGGCTGGTTGGAATCTCCTCACTCCCCTTGGTGTAAATTAGAACAATCATCCTGCAAAGGGTCCTCTATACCGGCTTTGCTATATTCTTCTCTGCCTACAAAACCTTCTCTATATACAGACAATCAAGTGGTACTTAACATCCTTAAGATCTGGCATCAGTTTAGAAGGCAACATAAATTTTTAACTGCATCTTCTATGATTCCTTTAACTAACAACCACTTATTTCCCCCATCTCTTTCAGACTCTCTCTTTTCAGTTTGGTATGATAAGGGTGTTAGACACTTAAAGAATCTGTATGTTCGTGGTGTGTTTAATAGTTTTACTAATTTGTCCTCTAAGTATAATCTTCCGGGCACTCATTTGTTTCGCTACCTTCAGATTCGTAGTTTTGTTTCAAAACTCTTTCCCAGTTTTCCTTCAATCCCCCCGGAGTTGCCTTGGGAAAACTTGCTTTTATATAACCCTTCTCAGAGAGGAAATATTTCAAAGATATATAACTCAATTCTGAAACTAAACTCTCAGTTGGATAACAAAATTAAGAATGCATGGGAATCAGAGCTAGGAATACAGTTAAATGAAGATCTCTGGGAAGATGCAATTGACAGAATACGGTCTACTACCTCTTGTGCTCGTCTTGGTCTTATCCAATTTAAAGTTTTACATAGAGTCCATTTCTCTAAGTCCAGACTCAGTAAAATCAATCCAGAAATTGAAGACAAATGTGACAAGTGTCAGGACTCTCCATGTCATCTTAGTCATATGTTTTTTTTTTGCCCTGACCTGGCTGCTTTTTGGTCCGGTTACTTTACAGCTATGTCTACTATTCTCAAAGTTAATTTGCAACCTTGTCCACTGACTGCTATATTTGGGATTTCTAATTCCTTAGTAGTATTAAATTCAAAGCAAAAAGATATAATAGCCTTTACATCTTTAATCGCAAGACGTTCAATATTATTAAACTGGAAGTCTGCTAGATATCCCTCCATCACCCAGTGGCTTAAGGACATGATGTTTTTTCTTAAACTTGAAAAAATCAAATACACAATGAGAGGATGTACGGACAATTTTCTCCAAAAATGGCAGTGTTTTCTTTCTTATTTTTCAGATTTGGAGTTCCTACCTAATTAAATATGTGTGCCTGTTGCTGTACTTTACTGAAGTTTTTTTTTTCATTATTATTATTTTTATTTTTTTTAAATTAGTATTATTATTATTTATCTTATTTTTCTGCTGAATGTGTTGGGCTGAGACAGTGTGGGAATGGGGGGGGGGTTGTTCCTTTCTTTTACTTTTACTGTTCTTCTTTTGTTTTGTTTTTGTTTTTGGTATATGTAGTAGGTGTGACTACTTCAACACTTATACTTGTATTTATATATGAGAAGTTACACCTGCACAAGTATATGTTTATCTTAAAAGAAAAAAAAAAGTGAACTGTATTCCTTATTGATATTATCTTATCATTTGTTTCAATAAAAATAACTTGAAAAAAAATACAAATAAATGGAGCAGATAATGATTCTGAACCATCTGTGGAAGGCTCAGCATTATCAACACAGCCACTAATAAGAGTCCAGGAAAAATTAGTAGTAAGTAGAGAGAATTAAGCACATTATGTCGAAATTTGCTCTGAGTTGATTAAAGAAAGATATTTATCTTAAATTTACCTATAATTTTATTTTAAATGGTTCGATAACTTACTCTTTAAAAGAGATATGACAGCTTGATATGACAGTCACGAACATTTCTGTTCTGCAGCAGACCGTAACACAAAAGTAAAAATTGCTTGTTTTATAAAGTGGCACAACAAACATGCAAGTTCATTATTGTTAATGGGTTGTTGGTCAAGATGACAAC